CCCAATGTTTTACACCATATCGCTAAATTGGAAACAAACTGAAAACGTGATTAAGTGAGGCTCGAGCCCTCGACTGGTCTCGTTACGGGGTTCCGGTGAAGTGATGATGAATGTATCTTGCCCGCGTTTTGTATCCGTTGTGTGTTAATACCTAACTTTCTTCTCTTGTATTTTTCTCGTTAAGGCCAACACTGAAAGGATCATGTTTTTTATGAACGCTGTCGCTTATCTACTTCTTGGCTTACCGTGCTGGAAAATAACTTCTGCGGGACATAACACATGCCGTACAAAAAGAGCAATTTCAGAGTATGCGCTAAAAGGTCACGTGATATCTGCGCTCGAGGGAAGAACGTGGGAATCCTGCGTGACCTCGTGTGAACACTTTCAAAATTGTTTCAGCATCAACTACTACTCGACACTGAAGGGATGCGAGTTAAACAACAAATCAGCTGAATGGTATAAGAACGATTTAGTTCCAACGCCGGGTGCGCTTTATCTTACTATGGTATCACGCAACTACAATCCATGTGTGGACCGGAATCCGCCATGTTTTGGGACGTGCGTGCCTATCCCAGGATCCTTGGCGACTCGGTGCAACTGCCAGGGCAACGTGACGTGCCATAATGAATGTAAGTGTGATGCTGATCATGCTGCTAACTTCATTTACCTCTCAGCGCAAGCTTCTGTCAGAACCGCCCAAGGGTTAGAACACAGGGTTGAAATTTTTATTAGAAGCCAGTTGTCCGGGGTTAAATTTTGATCCGGGTCAGTTCGTCTTCTTTTGCTCAAAGGCAATTTCTCGGATAAGTTTCTCTTTTCTTTTTGGAGAGACGGTCATCAAATTATAGCCAAAAAATTAAACTGAATGTGCCTTTTAAGCTTTCATATCTGAATTCAAATTTGGTACTAACCCTGGGTTATCTTAACCTGGCTTTGAACAACTCGGCCCGGCTGTACTTCCTACAGCCCCATTTGTGTGTTAGATTAAGGCTGATCACTTATTCTTTTGCTTAATTACTAAGGATCTTTCAAAAGCAAACGCGTTTTTGAGCGACGCGCGTCAACTGGAAGTAACCGGCCTTTTCCCTTTCAATTTACTACTATTAATAGAGACGATTTTCCTGAGAATATGGGCTAAAACACTGCCAAAGATAGATACAAGTCCACGTACGGTTGACATGCGTCGCTCAAAAACATCTCATGCTTTTAAGCAGTCTCTAATACTGAGTGCATTCTTTTGTGCCAGAACTGTGAATTCATTCGACTTTGGCTCAAGAGAGGTTTGGTTGTCAGACCACTTTGCTTGTTTACAAGTTTACCGAATGAAACACAAGTGTCTCTTAGTGTGATTTAATACCACTCTCAAGTTATTAACAAATAGGGCTTATATGAATCTGAGTCTGGTTTAAATGTTTTTTCTTTTGTTATAGTTTTTGTTTTGTTTTGTTTGCTGATATTTTAAAGCAGCCTGTTCTAAGCCACTTGGAATGCAAAACGGTTCAGTAAGAGACGATATGCTCAGCGCATCATCAATTCATTCAAAAAGTAACAAAGCCTGGGGACGACTCCATCACTCGGGTGGAAGTTGGACGCCGAACACGGATGACAAAAATCAGTGGTTTCAAGTGAACTTTGGGCCTGAGGTGAAACGTATCACGCATATCGCCACACAAGGATACGGAGAATCGCAGTGGTGGTGGGTTAAGAAATATTTTGTCCAATTTAATAGGCGAGGAGCTTCATCTCTTGAGACATACAAGGAAAACAATCAAAGAGTGGTAGGTTAACGTTATGACTAGCATCAATTTTCTCTTTACAATCAGTGATCGAACATCATCAAGAAAAAAGATTTTGAGAATTATTAAAATGATCACCAATGGGCAAATGTTTTATCTTATATCAAATTCTTTTAACTACGCTTCTGTTCAGATGGATATAATTAAAAATTTGCAATAAAGACAATCCGTTGCGAAATTGAGATCAGCAAACCATGTTTTAAGAGTTGAAACCGGTAGACTGACTGTGTCTAAAAAAATTTTTTTCCGACATTGGGGCTTAAAGGCTTAACATAAGACTTTAAGTTCTTTTCTTTGTTTTAGGATTTTACCGGCAACGTAGACAGAGAAGCTGTTGTAACGAACCAGTTTGAAAATCCTTTCGAGACAATTGCTGTGCGCATAATGCCAACTAAGTGGGAAGGAAGGATTGCCTTAAGAATTGAACTCTATGGATGTGGCATTTAATAGGAGAAACCACACTGCAGAGGTTGATCATCTGGGTCTGCAAATAACCAGTAGTAGGAATGTCCTCCTAGACTTGTCATCCTATCCAGGCGTTGGCCAGTTTACTGATTCTAACATCAATCACGGGGTTCAGCGGGTTGTCCACAGGGTCAACGGGGTAATAGGAAGATCAAGAAAACTGTGAATAGGTTGTCATATGACGCGTCTGTGGAGAATAGGAGGTAGTCTGCGAGTAAGCTCTCCATAGTCACGAGAAGTCACAGCTTGTATTGTGAGGCGTCCGTGGAAGGCAGTGTTATTGGGAATTCGAGAGCTAGAGTAACTAGCAAGCACTGTTTTTCATAGCTGACAATTTCTTTACTAAGATGTTACGCCCTAAAGTCCCTCAGCGGTTGTGGGCGTTTTCATTTGAACATAAATAAGAACATCCATGGTACTCCTGACTGAGTAGTACAGAAAAAGGAAAATTTATTCTACGGAACAAACATGCAGAAACTTAGATATACACCTATTTCAATAAAGGTTGATTTGGTGAAGAATGATGCAAGGTCCATTTTTCATAGCCCACGGTGCAATATAGGAGCAAGTCCAGTAAATTATGTGCTCGCCATGAGCTTAGAAACCTAGAAAGCAAACGCTACTGACATTTCTATGCTATGTCAGCAGAACCGCACGACAATGTATTTCAAAACACTGAATCCTAGGCTTTGTAGGAGAGCGATCTGAGTTTAGGTTTTGCTCTGTGGTAATATGCAAATGTGAGATTTTAAAATGAAATTCTTTAGCTCGCTCATGCTTAAGAATTTTTGCAGCCATTTGAGTTAAAAGCTCTCTCGAACGCCTTCTCACCGATAGTCTCCATTATTCAATGAACGTGAACAAGACTGAACTTCCCGCTACAAAAGGGTTTACATTGTGCACTGCAGGCCATTAAACATGGTTCACGGGAGTAACCTTAATTGAAATAGATGTATACCGAAATCCTGGTTACTCTAGCTCTACTGCACAATTTTTTCTTCTTCTGCATCAGATCACTGAGTACAGTATTCACCGCAATCCGAAACTGAGGCTGACTAGCAGCTATAAGTCTTCTTTTCATTCTCATGTATAAAGTAAAAAGGCACAGCCAAAAAGGTGCCTAGCTGTTCCAAAGGATGACCCTAATGACAAATTTCCATACCCTTCCGTATAGTTCAACTCGTGAAATGTCTTCCAGTTTTCAGTCTTTTGTTTACGTACTGAGAAGAAGCGGTTTCATTTTATTTCTCTACCGTTTACCCCGCTTTTCAATACATGAATAATCTGTGATTTTAATTCTAATAAGTCAATCCGTGTTCTAACGAACGACTGTAAAATATAAACTTCATTTCCATGTAGATTCAAAGTTCTCTAAAGCGAAATTTGAATGTTGAGATCTCGGAAACAGAATAACCAGTGAAAAAATCACAACCAAAGTGTATGCGATCAAACAAACTGAATTTTAAGTTCTCAGCCGCTTCTATTCCGGCCCATATTTTAGTTCCTTACTTGCCATATTGACGAGCAAGATGAGCATGTTTTGCGTAAAAGTTGCTGCCACTAGGCGAAGCCCGAAATAAAACATAAGGATGCCTGGTAAACTCGCCTGTTCAGTGCTTACCTCACACTACCACTTCTGCGTCGTATGTTTCGTCCTGACTACTCTAACTCATACCCACCCCCTGGGTTGAAGTTGCTCCTTACTTCGGTCGCGCCGAAAATTCAAACGTCATCGGAAGAAGTTATCGGAAATGTTGAAATTTCCCTCGCGTGAAAGCTTTTGTTTCACATTGATCTTTTTGTCCTTACAAGGAAAAAAACGATCAAAAATAACAATATAGAACAATACCTATTGTTCTCTAATTCAGGTCGCTTTTCTTGATACGTTATATACCACAAACCTGAAATGGTACACCTTTTCGGGTGAAGACCTGTAGGACATTTTGGGGATTACCCCGCCTGTGTATGTGTTTACCAAACTGCAACAGATTTGTTAAGCCTAATAATTTGTGAAAACTGCTCATTTCTCACCTGTTCGTTCCATCCAAACGAAATTGTTATTTCGTCCCCGTTTCGTTTTGTCGCACATAAGTGAACAATATGTCTCCGTCTTTTAGTACTAAAACAACGGCCAAGGGATCCATGAAGGCGTATTATGTTGTGGTTCAATTTTGTCCCCGGTTTAAAATTTATTTTCCTTTGTTCTAAACCGACATTTTTAGTCATACATTACGATACCCAAAAACAAAGGATAATAAAAATTAAACAAAGGATAAAATTGAACCACAACATAATGTGCGAAGAAAGGGGAGCTTTAATTTTAATTGCTTCAGATAAAAATTGAGTTTGCTGGCACTTTGAAGCCACAGGAAAATTAAACATCATAAGTATAACAATGATCACGGCGTTATTAAGTCAATAAGAAAGTTCAATACATACATTTGTTGTCAGTCAGCCTTGCCCTAAAATGCAAATATCGATTTAGCGAATGAATTCGTTCATTCTTTTTTTGGCCGAACATTATGGATGTCCCCTTGCCATTCATCATTGAGACGATTCAAGATTAAATTATATAAATTAAAACAAAAAATGATGCAATGTTAAGTTTTAAACTAAAAGGCAACCAGTCATAACTGGCTCTCCACTATCTCACGCAGTTTTTGATCACTGTAATTTCCCTTTGCATGGCAAAACTCGTTACTCCGTCAACCTAATTGATTTGAAAACAGTGAAATTTAATAAAACTGGTCATTGTGTGTACACAAACACAGATATGTTGTAACTATCGACCCCTTAGAGAGCTTAGACGCGTTTCAGGAGGAGGCAAGTGATGCTCACTGTTTAATACCATAAAACACATAAATCATCACTAAGATGGCTAAAACATTTAAGACATAACCAAATTCGCCTGCTTTTGGAAAGGCAGCAGGAACACTATTTCATGAGAATAGATTGATTGCAGTTTGTCTGACACTCCTCAATTCAAGATGGTGAGAAAGTAAATATTTTTTATTCACACCGAGATAATACTGAAGAAGAAAACCGTTAACCTTTTCACTGCCAAATGAAGCCAAAGGCAAATTTTGAGTACGTTTGCAAATTTCATTTTGTAAAATTTTGAAAAACAAATAGCACCATGTGTAAGTACAGGCAGAGAGCTTTCATTTGAATGGTCACATCATAGGATTTGGTCCGCAGACTCAAAAGTTAGAGTCACCTTACAAAACTCCATCAAGCACTCTGACAGTGAAACGGTTAATATCCTTCGCCTATTCTTTCCTGTTGTAAATCATTTACAGTAATAGCCCGCGTATAAGAACCTGGGTTTTAAGAACCTGTTAGGCTAAAATTTTCATTTTAAGCCCCCTCCACATAAGAACCTATTTAGGCTAAAATTTTAAGTTAGGTTCTTATCAGTGGGGTTGCTGTAAAAGTGTATAGGTAGAAACTGCTGAATTAAGATCATCATCTAGGACATGCTGTACCTGCACTGAACTGCCTATATGCATTGCTCTATGGTACAAATAAATGACTTATACTGTATTATGAGATGATATTTATAATATATATAGTATATTCAGATGAAATTCATATGAAAATATAAGAACCTATTTTAAGAACCTCGGTAGCCTAAATTTGCTTTAAGTACCATTTATATAAGAACCTATTTAGGCTAAATTGAAAAATTCAGGTTCTTATACGTGGGCTATTACTGTACCACATACTACAATGCAAAAATGAGGCTAGTCAAGCTATGGTCACCCTACAACGAGTCTAGTTTTGTGCTGACACAAAAACCATACCGGATAAAGCTTCTGTTCACACCTTACATAAGAATAGTGATTTAGGCGCGATTTCGGTAACGGAGATAAGCTGCGACGAGATGTCTAAAGTGGAGAGTCGGTATATGGCATACCCGGGGGGGGGGGGCACTTGGGTATTTTTTGGGTGGATATGTGCCGCCCGGGACTCCAAATTGGCACCCCGTTCTAAAAAAAATTTCCCCTAAAATTGATACCCCGTTCTAAAAATGGGCCAATTTTTTATACCCCGTTCTAGAATTCGCCCTAAAAATGATACCCCGTTCTAGAACTGGGCCAATTTTTTAAACTCCGTTCTAGAAAGTTTGTAAATTGAAATAGCTCTGTTTTTTTAAAAGATATTTCTTTATTTGTTCGACTTATGCATCAAATAAATGCTTCTTCATTATCAGCAACAATTTTAAGCAGAAGATAAAGCCTTGATCCACAATTTTTTATACCCCGTTCTAGAAAACGCCTCTGAAATGGATACCCCGTTCTAAATCAGGAGCTTCAAAATCACGACCCCGTTGGGCGGCACATACCCGTATAGGTAATGTATGGCAGTGCCCCCCCCCCGGGATGGCATATCGGATTGGTGTTCAGACCATACTGGATAGGTTATCGTGTCAGCACAAAAAGCTAACCGGCATAGTGTAAATATAGTCTGAAGACTGAATTTTGGCCTGAAAAATAGCCGTAGTCCTTGTTAAACAATGGGCGATCCTTCCAGTTATGAAGGGTAAATTGTAATCAAATCGAGTCAAACCGTCACCAATTTGTCAAACTTTGCGATGTCACTCCATTCACTTTTCCCTTAAAATCGAAAGAAATCATCTCTCTTGCTAGGTCGTTGTTACAACGATAATGGGGACCTTACGATCTGACAAGGAGGACGCCAATGAAATCGTCACTGAAAAATTGACTTCGCCCCCTTTCAAACCATTTCGCGATTATCCCAAGTCACCCAGTTACTTGAAAGATGGGAATTTATGTTGGAGCTGAAGAGAGGGGGCCGCATCCGAGTTCAGACAGAGATGGAAGAATTGCCGTTCCCCTCCTCAAAAAAACTTTTAATTTGGTCATTTCACGTCGTAGTCGTGCAGGGACGGCAAAGAAATGTACAAAAAAGTGTGATGCATGTGCAGAGTTGTTGTTTTGCTAACTAAAGCTATTGTTTTA